ACTCCCTTTGCAGGCAGAGAAGAGGTGGGTGCTTCACAAGCACAGCACAATTGTCTAAGCAGCAGAGCCTACCACTCACTCATGAGGAGCCTCAGGGTCTTTCCTATGTCCTTGTCAACTTTCCCAGGATCCTCTTGAAGCTTCTGTCCTTTCCTTGACTTCTCAGGCCTTCAGGAAAAGACAGAGAGCGCTGAGGGCCAGGCTGTGCAGACACAATATGCCCAAAAGATGGAGATATTGCTCCCTAAGGAGGCCACAGAGTGGTGGAAGCACCATCACTCAGACTGCTGGAAGAGAGGTTGCGCAGTCTCAGACTGCTGCCCAGGGAGGTTGTGGAGTGTCCTTCTCTGAAGACATTCAAAACCCACCCGGATGCGTTCCTGTGTGGCTGCCCTGGGTGATCCTGCTTTGGCAGGGGGGTTGGACTAGATGATCTTTCGGGGTCCCTTCCAACCCCCAACATTCTGTGATTCTGTGATCTAGCCTTCGGGCACCGAATGCCAAGTCAAGCACTGCAGCTCTGCTCAGCAGAAAGAATGGGACTTGGGTTTACTGCAGTCTCTTGTGGAGAAATGGGCAAAACAGTCTTGATTAGAGTTCTTCACAAAAGAAGAAAAGAGAGATCAGACAGAGCAGGGCAAATGTGAAGAACAGACGGGAGCCTATACAGGGGGATGTCCACCAGGAAATTAGCTGCCACCAGCATCATCCAAAATCCCCCATGGCTAAGACCCCAACCAAACAACTGCACTGGGGCCTGAGGAGCTGGAGAACACCACAGCAGAAGACTTCTGTATTCATGGCACAACTCTTAGCAGAAGAATTAGAAAGATACTCAGCAATTTCTAGGTATTCACATAAACATTTACAGCTCCCAGCACTGGCCTGTTCATCTTCCTGGAAGAAAGCACACACAGGCCAGTTTTGGAGGTCAGGGTGGACAATGAACTGCTCAGCATACCTGAAGATCGGATCAGCAAACTTCTCCACATGCTCAAGAAGTGTTTCAGCACATCTCTGGGATGCAGGCCACCTTTGATGCATGCTCAGGATTAAACTGGTCCCGCAGAAACGCTACACGTAGACTGCACCAGGTCTACACTGATTTCAGTTTCTGAAGGAAGATCTCCTCTGCAGGGCTTTGGAAGTTGGAGAGCGTGGAAGAAAAAATGAGAGTGGGTCACAGGGTATGGTACAGCTGTCAGACAGCTGGCGACAAAACCACTTTCCCCGGCCAAAAGCAAGTTACAGCAATGCTTGGACATTGACGACCACTTTAAAACACACAGCTGTGATACTGTCCAGCGTTACTCCAGCACCGCTGTGTCACAAACCCGCGGTTTTTGGGTTAGTGTGTTATTGATATCGCAATGGTTCTCTGTGTATGTCTTAAGTGTTGAGCTAAAAGGTGCCTGCTCCCCAGAGTGGTGCCATGCAGGGGTACATCGCTGGGACCGTGCTTGCAGCCCCTCCCAGTTGACGCTTCCCCTCCTACAGCTTTGCTACTCTTCATCTACTCTACTTTAATCTAACTTAAAGCTCTGGTGAAAAAATTTGCTCTTACTCCATCCCCGGTTTCTGCTTATCTTATCTGCCAGCAAGCGAGGCAGGTCCGTGGTGAAGTCCCACTGCTGCCATCCTGACCCAAGGGCTTGGTGCGGCAGAAGCACGGCTGAAAACTTCGCTTTGTGTGGAAATCTGGGAAGTGGTAACTGCACTTTAACAGGGCTTGGGCACTGGGGCAGTACAGGAATGTGGAGATCATCGAGGACGTGGGTGTTTTTAGCGCTTCAGCTGTCCAAAGAAGCAGGAGAAAAACTGTTTAACACCAAAAGACAGTGTGAACACAGAAGCTGAGATGACACAAGAAAAATCATCTGAAATAGAGAGTTGGCATCGAAGGGTATCAGATGAGTCTCCCCACACTCCAAAATACCTCTGAATACCAGTCTGAAGCAAAAGACTACGGAATTTTGACCCTGTGGGAAAAACATGCACCCAAAACAGGAAGGAAGGAAGCCATGGAGCATTGGTCCTTCTTTTCTGCCCACCAGAAGAATGTCGAGATCTAGCTGAAATAACGAGTGCTTCCTACAGGCTCATGGCTCTTGATTTGGAGACACCTGGGAAAGTCGGGTAAAAAAAGTTATTTGGAATAATAAGCAACCTCTCATTCTGCGTACGAGAGATACAGACACATATTCACTTAAAACACAGTAAGTTTCCAAGCCTATTCTCGGAGACCACTTCCAAAAAACCCGGCAACAGAAACAAAGGACTGCCCCTGAGCAAAACACCTTCAGTCCTTCCCTGTGCAAAACCTCAAAAATGAAAAAAGATGGGCTTTAGAGAGTTTGGTTAAACACCTCTGCCTTCTGCTGCACCTGAGGCAGCGCTGCACACAGCAATCACTTTTGGCGGCTCATCGCGGCTGCTTGCAAGGTGCAGATTTTGCTACAGGAAATACATTCTCTCTCAAGAACTCTAAATTCTGGTTGTGAAAATGTTTTATATATAAAACACTAAAAAATATATTTATATGAACATACTGGCAATGGCATATTTGTAGCCTCTCTAGAGTAAGAGGGGTCATATTCTACATCCAAATCCTCTCCCCGGGTAATTAATAGCCGGGAAGCAAAGTCTTCTCTTGCTCTGTGTAGCCTCCAGTGAATTTTTCCTCTCCAACAGCTTACCCTTTTAATTCATAGGCAGTTTCTGCCTTATTTTCTTAGCAGGCCCCACACACTTCTGTCCAAAACACACCCCGAGTGCTGGCTCAGCTCGGTAACAGAGGGCGGCCGAAGGCATTTTATGGACCACGCCGAGCGCCGTGATTCTCGGGCTTTATTCTCAGACGAATTAAAAAAACACAAAAGCAGACGCCAACGATCACAATCCAGCGCTGCGATTTCTGGAGCCTCTTGCTCTCAAACATAGGAAAGGGCTCGATTCTGGCCCGGATTCTGCGTACAAAAGGCATCGTCACCTCCAGGCAAGTGGTCCCAGGAACTCTTCGAGCTTGCTGGCTTCACGTCGTCGGCCCCGCAGCCACCGCGCGATCCCCGCCCCGTGTGCAGCACCAGGTTGGACAGGGGTGTGCTCCCAGGCCTGTGATTCCCAGGGCATGGATAACGTGACTCCGGGTTTAAATTACAGAGCAGGAAAGGGGTTAAAGTTTAAACGGCTGTTTTGTATATGAATTAATGTATGTAGCTTTGAGCCAAAATATCTACCATTAATTTTTCCATCTATTTCAGGAGCAGTAAGATACACAAAGTAAAGTTTATTTTGGTACTTGGTATACTTCACTCTCATTAAAAATAAATTAATCAGCAAATTCCTACACAGCTCGGCCTTCTTTTATGTAAATACAACGCAGCTGTAATGAATTACAAGGTGTTATTATCTCACACACACTGTATAATACTTCACACATAAGAGGTTTCTCTGCTTAGCTCAGCTTTCAACAAAAGCATCTTAAATAAACTGCAAGCAAGTTGTTTGGTCTGTAATGTTTTCACAGAGAAGGGATACACCTCACACATAGAGGGTTTCTTTACATGACTCATTTTATAACAAGTTAAACTGAGGAAGTTCGCCTTGGAAAAAGAAATTTCAAAATGCCTTTTTTTATACACAGAAGGTGCCCTAAGAGAAGATAAAAAAAAAATAAATGCCCGCCCATGTTTGGGGGCCTATATTCTGCGTCCCATCGCTCCGCAGACAGAGAAGGGAAGTGAAAACACACAGTATCAAGAAAGCAGCTTCAGAGGAAGGAAGAGTCACAGCCAGGCACAGTCACACTTTCACCAGATTAAGGATTCACAAATGGAGGATTAATTTCTCAAAGATTATCACCTTTGACTTTCGATTACTCGTTTTATTAGGAAGAAATCACGGTATTACAGGGCTTAATCTCATCCAAAGCACACAGAAAACACACACGCATCAGTTTTGCCCAGACTGACATTTATTATTGACTCGGATGTCAGATGGGAGAGAAATGAAAACTGATTTTGTCACTGACCTGCAAATAGCCTGGTGAACCACCCGCCTACGCAGCACACCTCAGCCTCTGCTGAGCTCACCAGCGGAGCTCTCGCTCCCGTAATTACCGTGTCGGTGCAACGCGCCTGCACAGCCAGCTGAAGTTGTCACTGGGGTTGACAAGTCTTGTTTAAAAAGCCCTGGGCCGCCGGTTAGGGGGATGGAGGACAGCAAAGCTGTGCCCTCTTAAGAGCCACGGACAGAAATAGGGATGTTTTCTCATAAAGAAATTCTTAGACCGCAAGTCTAAAAAGAAAATGGCAATATCAGCAAGGCAGACCGAAATACCAAGTACTCTGAGGCAGCTTTTCAAGACAGACATCCACATTTGGGATTTTATTCTCATTAAGATGGCTGGAGTCACAGGGGATTACCGGGGACTGTGCATTATTCTTTACATTCTCCTATCTTTGTGCAACAGAGCGGAGTTCTTAAAACGGATTTTCACAGAACCCTTCAGAATCCGTTAAAGCAATTCTTAACTCCACTAAAGCAAAAACGGACCGTTCCATCTTGACGTCAGGCTTTTAAAATACATCAACATCTAATATGCCGAGCTCGGATTCGCATTCACAACCGTTCAGTGAGCAGACGAACGCCGTCGTGTCTCTACGTAGCAGCTTTCCAAGCGAGGCAAAGGACAGAAATGTCTTCCTGAGATAACTCTAAGTCATGGGAAAATATCTGGTTTCCTAAAGGCAGGAGGCAGGTCTTTCCGTCTGCCAGCAGGGACCACGCAGCGCCACAGAAAGGACAGAGGTTCTCAAACCAACTAGCACGTGTTTGCAGGTGAATATTTCAAAGGGTACGGCTGTCCGTTGGGCTACTGAGGCACCGTGGATAGAATATCTAATTAAATATTTTCATTTCAACAACAAGTTTTCCTGCTTCAGCTCAGTTCAACGTCAGGCACGCTTCCCAAGCCGATCTGACAGGAAGGCTGGGCGCTCTCAGAGTCCTTCGTCGTTGTAAACAGGGGAAAGGGGCTTGAGGATGCTGCGGGCGTCGCTCTCCACCAGCGGCCGCCAGCTCACCTCGCCCGTCAGCAGCAGGTCTTCCCCGCTCAGCGCGTCCAGGTGCTGCACCTGCAAGGACAGGGTGTTAGCGCAAGGCGTCCCATCGCCCGGTTAGGCTCCCCAGGAGCTACGCACAAGTTGCTTCCCTGACAGAAAGCAGAACAGGGAGGTTTCAGTGCGCTTATGTCATTTGAGGCAGAGCTAAAAAGGTAATTTCCGACTGCGTAAGCGTCACGGAAAGGCCAGGAGATAAGTATCTGCAGACCCACTGGAGCTGACTGGATATAGTCTTCTACTAAACACCTCAGCTAATGCTTCCTCTGAAAGTTTGGCAGCAGGACAAAGAAGAGCCACGCAAAGCAAGCGTGAGTCATTTTACCTTCCCGGCAGTTAATTCAGATGACACCCTGCTATTACCATCACTGCCATGGAGTGCTCTCAAAGTGGTTTCACATCGACCAACGCTCTTCACTGTATGAAAAAAAAGCCTGAGCAGCTTGGAACACCTGAGATTTATAATATAGAAGCACATGAGCCGGAGGAGATGAATATGGAACGAATGCTCGTTCTCACAACACAAGAACTGGGCATGCAATGCCATTTTAGGGTGCAACGTAAGGAAAATAAGAAAACCTGCTGTCACACAACATAGGGTTAACTTGCTGCCACAGGACACTGTAAACACGGGTGTGCGTGTGTAACAAAAAGTCCGTGGAGGGTCAGTAAAAGACCTCTGGCTCGGGAAGTTGGAGAAGGCAGATTGCTAGGAGACTTGGCCAGGGAAATTCTACACACGCTTGCTCTGTTACGATAGTATTCTCTGACATCCACTAAGAGCCACTGTCAAAGCCAGGATCAGCAAGAAATTACAGGAAAGAACTCGTACTGGAAACGAAAGATTATTTGACAAGGAATTTCGCAACAGAGGAAGGAATACTCAATGGCCACAGAGGGTCAGGCCAAAGAGCCATCAAAGCACAACATCCTGCTTCAGTCGTATGAGGAACGGCTGAGGGAGCTGGGGCTGTTCAGCTGGAGGAGAGGAGATGGAGGGGAGACCTCCTGGCTCTCTGCAGCTGCCTGCAGGGAGGCTGTAGCGAGGCGGGGTTGGCCTGTTCTCCCTCGTGGAGAGTGACAGGACGAGGGGAAATGGGTTTAAATTGCGCCAGGGGAGGCTCAGGTTGGATATCGGGAAGAATTTCTTTCCTGAGAGGGTTGTCAGCCATCGGAACAGGCTGCCCAGGGAGGGGCTGGAGTCACCGTCCCTGGAGGGGTTTCAGAGACGGGTGGGTGTTACCTCGAAGGACACGGTTCAGTGGTGTTGATGGGGCTGGGACAGAGGTTGGACTTGATGATCTTCGAGGTCTCTTCCAGCTGATATGATTCCATGATTCTACGACTCAGTCAGTCAGCGACAGCAGATTTCCCAGGACAAGTTAAGTACAAAGCAGGCACACTATGTTGCTTCCTTCGTTTTTTTCCCTCCCTCCCAAAATTGGTTACGTTGGGCATTTGGAGCCTGAAGTGGTGGTTGTGGATTTACCAGCCCCGCACAGACTCCTCTTCCGTAAGCCCCAGCAGTGCCTTTGGAACTGCCGTGCAACTGTAGAATCCTGACCACATGCTCGTACCAGTGGACAGACCTTCCCTGCTCACCGTTCCTGTGCCTTCAAGATTTCCCAGAGCTGTCTCGCGCTCCTTCTCAGCTGTTCTTCAGGCAGGGGATGCTACTCATTGCTAGTAAAGGACCTGTTCCATGCCACCCTTACTGCCCTTCTCTGAGCCTTCTTCAGTTTTCATCTTTCAGGTTTTTTATTTTTATTTTTTTACTTTTTAAATTTATTTTTATTTTTAATTTATCTTTCGGGATTTTTTTTATTTTTATCTTCAGTGTTTATCTTTCTTGATGGTCAGAATCCAAACCATATGCATTACTCAAGATCACAAGGGTACCAGTTAAAAAGTGGCACAACACCACTACTTTATTCTCTATTCCTTCCTCAGTAGTTCTGAGCATCTGTTTTACCGTTTTTTAAACGCTACAGAGTGCTGAGCTGATGTTTTGATAATACAATTATAATCTCAAGGACTTATTCCTGTGTGGTTACAGACAGTTTAGAGCTCGTCAAAAGACACGTAAAGCTGGAACTGTTTTTCTCAAGTGCACACTTTGGAGCTGTCTGCAGGAACGACCCGTCTTCACAGAAGCTGTGCTGATTTCTCCCCAGTGTGCCACATTTATTTGTGTGATCACCATTTCCTATTCCACTGCTGATAGCTTCTGTCATATCCTTTGCTTGAATATAGAGAAGTGTAACAAATTCCCCACTTGGCAGCAAATTGTCCCAAATTACATACATTTAATACGTGTTTGCTTCCTGCTAATCATAGAATCACAGATTCATTCAGGTTGGAGAAGACCCTTGGGATCATCAAGTACAATCACAAACTCTACTCTGCAAAGCTCACTCCTAAACCATCTGCCCCAACACCACATCTACACAATCTTTAAACACCTCCAGGGCTGGTTACTCAACCCCATCCCTGGGCAGCCTGTGCCAGTGACCAACCACTCTGTTTTCTGAGAAAAATTTTTTCCTGAAGTCTGGTCTAAGCTCTACCCTGTTGCAGTTTGAAGCCGTTCCCTCTTGTTCTGTTGCTAATTACCTGTGAGAAGAGACCAGCCCCAACCTCTCTACAATGTCCTTCAGGTAGTTTTAGAGAGTGATGAGATCTCTCCTCAGCCTCGTCTTCTTCAAACTCAACAGGCTTCAATCGCTCTTCATAAGATTTATTCTCCAGGCCCTTCACCTTCAGCGTTAAACTTTCCTACAGCCTCACTGACATTAAGCATCAGCAACCTTAAGCATTAAAAAGCCTGTCCCTCCTGAAAAGGCCTTTAGCAATTCCAAAAGTGTCCTCAGTCCCTTACAAAGTTGAGCCCTCTACTTATCCTTACCGTTTTCTCAGATACATGTTGAAACATAAGTTTGCCGACGACCCCGAGCTGTGTGTGGCGCTGGACTCGTTGGAGGGCAGGGCTGCCATCCCGAGGGACCTGGACAGGCTGGAGAAATGGGCCAGGGCAAACTGCAGGAGCTTCAGCAAGTCACAGGGCAAGGTCCTGCCCCTGGGTCGGGCCAGTCCCAGGCACCAACACAAACTGGGCACAGAGTGGGGTGAGAGCAGCCCTGAAGAGAAGCACTTGGGGCTGTTGGTAGATGAAAAGCTCAGCCTGAGCCGGCAGGACGCTCGTGCAGCCCAGAAGCCAACCCTGTCCTGGGCTGCATCCAGAGGAGTGTGGCCAGCAGGGCAGGA